GGGGGGTTTTGAGGTTTAATATGAGTTAAAAGAGTTCGTGTTATATAAAACAAATCAAGGTCTTTTTAATTAACGATAACTAAAATTTGCATGCTTGAAATTAGCGATAACATGAATTAACATTAATTAAATTAACGCTAATTTTTAAAATCCGCGTTAATAAGTGCATCGTTAATTTTCTATAATAAGGTATTCAACACACTAAAGACATTAAATTATTTGGGAATGCATGGTTAAAGCAATACAAAAGATGGCAAAATTGCATGGGGATTTTTGTGTTTTTAATATTGTTAAAAGTTAATTTGTTTGCTACAGGTATCTATATAGTATACTTGTTGAGTATTGAGTTTAGGAAAATGTTCTCAATGTCTTTGACTTTGTGAAATAGTTGTATTTCAAAATGTCAGCGTTGCCGTTCGTGCAAATGACGTTCAGATTTGGAAATGCAAGAAATTTACAAAAAGACGTTTAAAAGCCTGCTAGTAGACTCTAGATGACGTTGATAAGCTGGACTCCCCAAGCTGTAAGTTGGGATGAGTAATTCTCACTGACACTGCGTGCGACAAATTTAATGTATAACATGGTAAAAACCTGCATAAGACAACCAGTGGTGAAATTCAGTGACCAATGATCCAACTAAAATACAAGGAACACTTCAGGTTGTCAAGACCTCGGTTGTCCCATCCCAATCCTTTCCTCCGTGCGTTTCTAATACTACTGTACGTACTAGTAATACCATGGATTCTAAGCTTTCCGAGGGATATTAGCTGATCACCATAAAGCAAGGACTTTCTCTTTTTAATTGAAGCATTACAACCAATATATGAAAGTAATTTCGAGCATGATTTTGTAAAACAATTCATGCGATTAAACTTAAGTCTTTATTTTAAAACTATCATTGATTTCAAAATCTTAGATCAACATAAAAATTTTATTAATCATAAATATCTTACAGCCTTTTATATAAGAAATCATCCATTTTTGGTGGCAAAAATAATCAGGGCACCATGGAAACCGTCTGAATTCACCGAAAAATTCCGCTTCCCTCGCAAACACGCTCCAGCAGAGAGTGTTTGGGAGGGAAGCCAAAGTAGATAGCATGGCTTGCGAAGTCGCCGGCGGAAAATGACATGTCTGAATTACAGCATGAGCGATCATTTGGAGCCCTATGAAAGTAAACTTGAGAAAATCTGGCTAGTAATTGACGCCGTGTAAGTTTTTATGTTTTTATTCAGCTTTGAACAGGGCCACCCATAGAAATTCGAAAACCTGGAGCAAATTTTTAATTTGGGGCCCTAACTTTTCCCACAAATTTTGGCGAATGGCGGGGGGGGGGGGGGGGGGGTTCGAACGCTACACAGTAATAGCAGGGTCCAAAACCCTAAATTAACAAAAAGGGATTAAAAAATTTTTTTCGAACCCTTGCTCGTAAAATTACTAACAAATTTACTTGAATTTTTTATGCACATGTATGAGCAGTGTGTATAATCTCAATGTTTGTCATTGCAATATTTCGCAATATATTACATGTACCTACGTGGTTTATACGTTATCATTTGGATTCACACCGTTGACCAGGCAGAAGGCAACATAATCATGTTGTGCATACCCTTCTCGTATGAAAAGCAATTGTGTAACAAGATTCTGACTTCAGAAATTTAATACACTGTCTCAAAGCAATTTTAAGACGACACATACCATAACATTGTATAAAATTGCAACGAAACGTAAAATTATCTATAATTTATAATAGTTAAAGGCTATTGGAGTTTTATTCAACTGTAAAGATCGCGCGCATCTTAGCCGACAATTTTCAAGATTTTCAAAAAAACGTTTAAAAAAGTTAAAAAAGAAAAAAAAGTTTAAAAACAGTTAGATTTTCAAAAAAGTTCGAGTATGGACATTTTATTTCTGTATGTAATTTAATATATGCTATGTTAACATACGTAGACTGCATGGGTTAAAATATAAACAACACTTACCAATCAATTTACGGGCCAAAGTAGAATTTCAACCAATTGCTTTATTTATCTCCCATTACAGCAACCCCTCAGTATGAGAATTATTTGCTTCGTTGATACTGTGAATATTGCCAAAGAATCGTGGCCAAGTAGATTGTTGAGCAAGTGTTCAGGTGTTCAGAACTAAATAAAATCATGATGTTCTGTTTTAATAATAGTAATATTACAAAAAAATACATGAAAAATTTCTCAATTCTGATTGGCTAAGAGCAGTGCAATTTTTTCGAAATACAGCGCCAAAAAATAAAATACAACGTCAGTACCTACACAAATATTTCTGGTATTTCTGTTTCAATGGTATTGTTTGTCAAAATGTCAGGCACTTGGCATGCAGCTGAGGCAAATGTTTGTCCATTATCAACATTATTTGACTTCTATTCGCGACTTCAAAAGCTTTCCAACATTTTTGGTTTACTTCCACTTTATTCTAACTGACCTTGTTTTTCTATCACAGATACTAGAAGGATAGGTTGACTCATTACATTTACCACCAGTGGCGAGGTGGTAAAATGTGGCGAGAATGCGACCCCCTCCCCCTCAATTGCCACGAAACCTATTCTTGCGAAAAATTTAAATCTGTAGAGAAATTGGGCGGGGTACACGTAATAAAACTCCAAACTCACGTATCATCATGTTCTGGTACTACATGACCTTTTCGGTATATGTCTTGGCATGAAACTTGATTGGTCTCATGAGTGATGGGATTAAGAAAGGTTGCAGTCGATTGTATAGTAAACCTGTAATTTCGGGTTACTGAATGAATATACCTTTCAGGAAGTTTTATTGAAGAAGAACTTTATTTGACTAAGTACACTTTGAGTCTTACGTTTCTACCAGCTCAAGTACGCGGCAATAACTATATTACAGTACTAGCAGTGAATAAATAACAGTATAACACTGACAATACAATAGCCAGTAAAACAAAGCCATACAAAGGCAGAGGGGAATTATAAGCTTGATCATATCTCGCAAAACATACCTGGTCGACCTGTTTCTTGTACGCCGCCGTACTTTTTGCATCAACAGAGCAAGAAAATTTCCCGTTCTCGCTATCTCTCAAAGCTGCGGCAACAGCAGTAAATACCAATCCACAAAGGAAATGAACAATTACACATACATAGGCGACAATACCAAATCTTTTCGGATCAAAATAATCCTTATATAACGGCGTCTGAGATGTAGTTTTTTAAGTATCCGCAAAATGATAATTGAAACTGTGATCTGTGCACTTTAATGTTTGTGACACAGCAATTTGGGTAAAATGAAGCGGCAACTCAGTGTGTTTTTGTTGATATTCAACAGACAAGAGACAGCAATTAAGTTATTTGAATGCATGGTTAAAGCTGTACAAAAGATGGTAAAATTGTGTCTTTTGTGTCGATATTGTTAAAATTTAATTGAACATATCTAAAATTAAGTTGTTCATTATAGAAATGGCTAGAAAATACCGGAGATTCTATTTTTCTTTCGTTTTCTTTTTCAAAGCTGCGGTACCAGCAGTAAATACCAATCCACAAAGGAAATGAACAATTACACATATATGGGCGACAATACCAAATCTTTCGGTGCTAAATAATCCTTAACGGCGTCTATCATCTTGATATTTAATTAATAAACTACATCTCTGAAACTGTGGTCTGCGCACTTTAATGTTTATGCGCAGCAATTTGGGTAAAACGAAACGGCAACTCAGTGTGTTTTTGTTGATACTGTAACAGCTAGTACGTCTCTCAACTGCCTTTAATATAGACGAACTATATGTTTTTGATGATATAATGTTCAACAAACTAAGTTATTTTAATACATGGTTAAAACTGTACAAAAGATGACAAATTTGCATCAGAAGCTTTTGTGTCTTTGACATTGTTAAAAGTTAATTGAACATGATTTGAAATATAGTTGCTAAATCTATAGAAATGACCAGAAAATGCCAAGATTTAACAGTTTCTTTATTAACCTAGGTAAGTTTGTGAGAACATGATGTTTTGACGGCTGTTTTAACCATATTTCAACGCAACTTGGAAAATGTAAAGATGGCCTTGAGGTTAAAATGACGTAATTGGAAGTAAATAGGAGTTGGCCTTGGCGGGGGTTAATAGTAGACAAATACAATTCAAAACAAAGAGCTTCCTATGCTAAATTTATATGCAAATATTTGAGAATATTCTTGAGAGATTGTACGATCAAGTTATCTGAAAAATAGAAGATCCTTCGTTCTGAACTGACCCAACCTCGTTCCCGAAGCCCTGGGACGAAGTTTGAAGTTACCGGCACTTTTTGAAATATTTCGACAAAAAGAACGTACAATCAGACTAGTTTGTTCTTGGTTTAGGGAGAGGTCATTATTTATAGCGGTGGGTGGCGCCGAAGAGAAAAGGGTTGGGTAAACAAAATTTTGAGTAAGTAAAAGGTTGGGTAAATGAAAACAAAACAACTCAAGGGTTGGGTAATAAAAAAATTATTGTCATTTCCAAAGCATGAATCACTGAAATATTGAAGACTAAAAAGTAATGTCAACGTCATGTATGCATGTCAATGCCGGCAATATGCATGTGAATCAATCAGAGTCACTATCTTGGTCAATTTCTGATTGTCGGGAGGCAAATGGTGTCTCCAAAGAAAATACACGTGAAAATGAAATTTTACACTGTAAAAAATTGCATACGCAGTTAACAAACTCTTGTGACAGAAGTGGTAAAGGACATGTGTGACAACTGAATGTAAACTAAGTTGATGATAAAGTGTACAATTCGTTTCTACTAGGGAATTTACAACCTATAAATATAACAATGCTCTGCGCTAATTATCATTACATGAAAAATGTTGACACCAAATTATGTTAGACTTGATAATGATTTAAAGTCGAAAAACGCAGGAAGTGATCGCCAAATCTTCCGAGCCAGAGGCTCGTGTTCTGGCTCATGTTACAACCATATATATACATATACAATAGAATATTAGAATTGGAATAACTTCCTAATTTTTATCCGTGCATATATATGCACATACTGTTGTTCAACTGAAGTACTTCTGAAGGTCAGATCGTTCTTTCCAATCACATGACCTGATAATTTCGTGTACCACGACAGGAAGATTGGGGAAAACGTTAAGAAAGTACTCTTGAGGATCGCCCACTAAATAGAATGCTTCGGGTTGAGGCTTTGGACGTGGACGGTCCTGCCAGTGTTCGTTGATATTTCGGATAAGTCGCAAACAATCCGTCCACAATGGCTTGTAACGAAATGTTCTCCCGTTTGAAGGATCAGTGCTTAAATACTTCAGAACATCGGCATTCATCAGAGATCTCCAATCTTTGGTGTCGCTATTCAACTGTCGCACGACATTTGATTTGACATCCCCTGTCTTGATCTCAGACTGATTTCCCACTTTACACAGCATTTCAAACTGCTTTTCCTTGGACTGAAGATAAGGGTGTTTTAGGGCTTCTTGAGCTGAAGGTCTATCTTTGGGAACGTGGCTCAGCATCCAGGATATCAAATTTTTTGCAGCAGGATCTTTCTTCAACTTATCCAAATAAACTGGGTTACCATCAAGTAAGTTGCGAAGTCGGTCAGGTTCTTCTCCAAAGGGATGTTCACCTTTTGTCACAATGTAGAATGCCACCATACCGGCCACCTAGACATGACAGAGGCAAATTGTATGTTACAAATCATAGATACGTAGATCCTTTCGAAGAAATCTTTGGGCTACCTGGAACAATTGCAATATTTTGTACAGACGAGCAAGCTTTCCTTGACAAGTTTACTTTCTCGTGTGTACAGTCAACAAGTTTTCATTCACAAGTTTACTTTCTCGTGTTCACAGTCATCAAGCTTTCCTTGACGTACGTGGAATGTTATTAACATTTATCTCACGTCAAGGCCCCTTTGTTTGCTAAAACCATAGACATTTGGAACAAGGCTCTTTGACAAGGAAAAATTCTCAATTTTTGTCGTACACACAAGTCAATAAAACTTGCCATTAAGGAAAATTTGTCAAGGAAACTATCTCTCTGTACGGGGCTTTATTTAGTAGTCATCTCCCGTATACGAGCTATTATATTGGCCTTCATAACAAAGGAACAGGCGTACATGCACAGTAAAAACAAATTGGTTAAAATGACCAAAAAAAATTGGTCGTTTGAATGCGTCTGAGACAACCAGTTTAAATTGGTCGTTTTAACCAAAAAAGTAATTGGTCAAACTGACCAATTATGTAATTGGTCAAATTGACCAATTATTTATTGGTCAAAACAACCGGAAATAATTGGTTGTTTTGACCAATAAATAAATGGTCAATTTGACCAATTAATTATTTGGTTAAAAAGACCAATTTAAACTGGTTGTCTCAGACGCATTGAAACGACCAATTTTTTTTGGTCATTTTAACCAATTTCAAATGACCAAATTAAAATTGGTTAAACATTTAAATTGGTTAAAATGATCAAAATTGCATTCCATTTCGCCATTAAACCATTCAAAACGTGCTTGAAAAACAATAATTTATTAACAAATAAATATTAAAATACAAAATCAATATACAGTATATGCAATATAATAACTTATAGGGATGAAACGTCACACGAAACCTCTCTGACTGTAAATATTTCTACAATATTTACTCGTCGAAGGCTATCAAGTCATATAGCCAAAACTTGTGAAAATAACCGTAAATTCTGACCGTAAATTCTAGAGCCAAAGGGGCGGGATTACAGTTGGATTTAGAGAAATGTGGCGGATAAACAAGAAAGGCCGTTGTTTTCAAAACGGAAAGCCCATTTCTGCAAACAGAGATGTAATATTGTAGACGAAATCAAATTTTAGATTTTGTTGATGTAGCGATGAACTATATTTGCAATGTGCAAGTCAGGAGAAGCAAATGCGAAGGCCTTTATCGTGATATTTTTCTCCTTCTCTAACAATCCTTTTATTTGAAAGTTGAAGTAAGACGACGAGAAATCAACTTCCGTGTCGTCAACTTCGGTTGTAAGACGTGCATGTTTCGAATCCATCGTAAGAGAAACTCATTAGATTTTCTTCTATCATAAAAACGAGCGTTGCTCTCTTTGCAGCATAATAGTCGTAAATAATTAACTTTCACTATGGACATAGTTATCGACAACTTTATTTAGCAAAACCAACAATGGCAACGA